TCCCTCTACCTCTTCTCGTACCCACCACGGCTAACTGCTCACACCTCTTCACCGGAGCATTAAGGCTTCTCCTCCGCACATGCCCGAACCATCTGAGCCTCGCTTCCCGCATCTTGTCATCCACAGGGGCCACGCCCACCTTCTTCTGAATATCTTCATTCCTAATCTTGTCTATCCTAGTGTGCCCGCACATCCACCTCAACATCCTCATCTCTGCTACCTTCATCCTCTGGATATGGGAGTTCTTAACCGGCCAACACTCTGCCCCATACAACATGGCCGGTCTAACCACAGCTCTATAAAACTTACCTTTGAGTATCGGTGGCACTTTCTTGTCATACAAGACTCCAGATGCAAGCCTCCATTTCATCCAGCCCGCCCCTATACGGTGAGAGACGTGCTCGTCGATCTCTCCGCCCCCCTGGATCATCGACCCAAGATACTTGAAGCTATCTCTCTTGGGGGATAACCTGTGATCCACTCCTCACATCCCTACCTACTTCCCTTGACTCAGCGCTAAACTTGCACTCCAGGTACTCTGTCTTAGACCTGCTCAATTTGAAAACCTTAGACTCGAGGGTCTGTCTCCAAACCTCCAATCTCTCATTAACACTGACCCTCGTCTCATCAATTAGAACTATGTCATCAGCAAATAACATACACCATGGCACATCCCCTTGAATATGGCGTGTCAATGCATCCATCACCAAGGCAAATAAGAACGGGCTAAGCGCAGAGCCTTGGTGTAATCCCATAACAACCGGGAAATGCTCCAAGTCGCCTCCCACAGTCCTAACCTTAGTCTTAGCTCCATCATACATGTCCTTGATTGCTCTTATGTAGGCTACCGGCACACCCTTTGCCTCAAGACATCTCTAGAGCACCTCCCTAGGGACCTTGTCAAAAGAAAAAGAAAAATCAGAGAAACATCTAAATAACTCAAGACCCTAAATCGGAATAAAGGTTTTGAAAGCATAGTTTTTTTCTGAAAGAAATCTCGGGAAATCGTTTAAAAGTCTAGGGAAAACACGGATCTAGAACAGATCTAACGAAATCAGAAGAACCTCAAAGCAAGGGTTTCAGAAGAACCCAGATGGTGAGAAAGGCTTGGATAGTCGTTGATTTAAGCAGGAGGAGTCGAGGTCAGGCTCGAACACCCATGGCTTGCCGGAGCAAAGCCGGAGATGGCCATAGAACTTGAATCAAACAAGGTCTGGACCCAGCTTCTTTGTGGTCAGGCCTTGAAACTTCAGTAACCAAGCGCATAGGAGCCATATAAGGCTGGTAGGTGGTGAGACCACCACGGATTCAGGCAAGGAGGTGGCCGGAGAAGGCGAGTGAAGCTCATCTGAGCGAAAAGGGAAGGGGGAAGGTTCTAGAGAGAACCAGAGATAGAGAAATAGAGATAAGAGTCGGTTGAGTGAGGAATGAGAGGGGTTTGGGGGGGTCGTTTGGTTTAATTTGGAAAGAACGAATCTGGACCGTTGATCAAAATTGATCAACGGCCAAGATTTAATCAGATTGGGTCAGGTAGATTTAGGAATTGGGCTTGGGTCTTTGAGCTGGTGTAATTAGATAATTTGGGCTGGTTTAATTGGGTTGGGGTCTGTTTGATTTAGGCTGAATTTGAAAGCCAAATTTGGCTATAAGTTAAATAGCCCTTTTTTTCCATTTAATTTATAGAAAATAGTAAATAAATTTCTGAAAACAAATTGAAAGTACTACAATGATTTATATGTGAACCTTTTTGGAGTACGAGAGTCGAATTGACTAACTTTTTGTGTGAATTTTGACAAAAAAAATTTCAAAATTTTAAAAATTAAATTTACATATTTAAAAACTAGATATAGAGTACTACAAGTCACAATAGTTAATAATTTAAAATTTTAATAATTATTTGTAAAAACCGGTGGTCCAAGAAAACTTTTATTTGACTCCCCAACTAATAATAATTTCACATAAAGTAAAATAGAGGGAGTAACTCTTTTCGTGGAGTATTCTTGTAAAGGACGTGTGTGTGAAACTCGAGTCATCCACATTGACCTATTAAGTTTGACGAATACTAGCTAGAAAAACAGATGACTGGTGTTATCGTTTAGTGCATGGAAAGCTACTAGACCTTGACATAATACAGCTTGGTGAATTCCGTCAATCATGAGAAACTAGAGTTTAATTAAAGGGAAAAAGGCCATTATTATCCCTTTACTATTGTAAATAGTACACGTTTGTCCTCTGTTTTACTTTACGTCCAAAATCCACCCTACCGTTAACAAACTTGATGGAATTGCCCCTAACCCTAATGGATGGCCAATGTGGCAGCTGACTCACTCCATTTTTTCCGTGTCAGCTGCCAAGTCAGCCTAGTCTCAACTAAACTATTCCCCTTCTCTTTCTTTCTCCTTGAGTTACGACAAAAGCAACGACCAATTTAAAAGAACCGCTCCAGTCACTGACCCGTTAGTAGTGAACCCAATTTAACCCCTTAAATAAAATAAGGCAAAATTAAAAGAAAAAAAAGACTTGACCGGAATGAACTCCGGTGAAGTCCCAGATCTGTAGAGTCTGAAGGAAGTTTTTCGATTGTTAAAGCAGCAGCTAACAATGGTTGGATATATCTCTGAAAAAATTCAACTATGTTGGAAAATGGAAAGGACCTTAAAACTCAAAATCCTCTCGCCGACAAATTAATGCTCATTGACAAAAATGGCAGATTCGGTCATTCTTAAAATAACCCGATCCATACAAATGAAGTTCCACCCTCTAATAACCTACCCCACAAAAGCTTTCTGCACTTTGTCCTTGAAACCCTATTGACTCTTCAATTTCCTTTTACCAGCGATCTTCCAACCTGAAGATATGGCCATTACTGTCATGCTAAGTAAAAAACCTAGTATTTCATCTTGTTTCTTATCCTCTCAAACAATGCCATTTTAATCATCCAGTTGAGAGAAATATATTGGAAACCTATCTGCGATTAACTGGCAACCCGAAAAAGGAGATTCCGGCGACTTCTGGGCAACAAGGCTACCGTTAATGTCTTCCCCATACTCATCCGGTCTCACTCATACAGTAAATTATGGCTGAACTTTGGAGAAGAAGATGACCGGAAATCGTTAGTGGACGAAGAACACCAATTAAGGGGTTAAATCCGGTTCACTATTAACAGGTGCCTAGTTTGGGTTGAAAAATTTGAAGCAAAGATGAAGAACTCATGGAAGAAAAAGAAGAAGTAGGGAGTCTGGAGGGGGTGGGGTTGGGGGAATATGTTTTTTTTTAATTAAGTAAATAATTGACTTGGCAGCTGACATGGAAAAAATGGAGTCGGTCAGCTGCCATATTGGCCATCCGTTAGGGTTAGGGGAAATTCCATCAAATTTGTTAACGGTAGGGTGGGTTTTGGACGTAAAGTGAAACGGAGGACAAACGTGTACTATTTACAATAGTACAGGAATAATAATAGCCTTTTTCCCTTAATTAAATCTCATTAAAAATAAAAAAAAACACAAGTTATTTTATTTTCGTTTGTCTAAACGTTAACGGTTAGAATTATTCGATATATTACTAATAGGAAATAGCAGCCTAGTGAAAATAGACGACATATCACACGCTAATCAGACACCACAATTTGAAGATTGATGTCGAGTAGAAGCGATCATAAGCACTGTGTAGAATAAAGCTATTCTCTATAACAATAACAACAACAAACCCAGCTTAATCAAGCTATTCTATATATGGTGATAATGTCTGAATCATACAGAAGTGGATGCATGCAATATTGGTGATTCAGAAAGGCTGGGCAAAGTGAAAACATGTAGGATCTTAAGCTGTTGTCCGCGAGTTGATCCCTCATCGGGAAAATGTGAACATGGGCTGATACAGAGTTGAATATAGAAGAATTAACCAAAATAATCGTCCAATCAAGATGTATAATATATATATGATTCTATGTATATGTATAACCTTGTAATATATATGTACACTGATTAGAAAAAATAAATAGTAAACCCAACAAGCTATTTGTGTAAAGGTCCCTTAAATAGACGGGTTCGACATAATCTAGTAACTTTGGCCCAAATCCTGCATATGTGTTAAGAATGCACTAAGTATGCACTTGCATATCCTAGAATTGAGAATCCATAAAATTCAATTCTTGAATCCACTTCAAGATAAATCTAGCTTATCCAAGCATCAACCTATAATCCACAACCTGCAATTGTTGGAGTTACTTGTTCAATAAAATGTACGTTTGGGCTAAAGGGGTAAGATAATGTTTTGATAATATCAACCTAAGTTGCTCAAACTCTTTACTTTCGGTGTCGCACACGTGAAGACACAATGTGGGTGTGGGATTTATACTGGATTTGGTCAATCAATTTTGTGTACTTTGACCAAAATTGACGGAGAATTTGGGACATATATAATAATTTTTGAAATCAAAACAAAAGTTAGGGTAAAATTAAATAAAAAAAATAGATTACCTTGTGTATAGAAATTTCTTTGTCAGTCCTTTTCCTTTATCTCCTTTCCCTTTTGATCAATATTTTCTCCTTCTCGGAACATATAGTAAGTATTTCACATAATGTCTCATAATTTAGATATACTTTTATAAATCTATTTTTAGATACTTTTAATTATTTTTAGCCGAATCCCCGTACTTGTATCCGTATCTTAATCGGTATTCCTAATCTTATAATTCAGATCATGAAAGATCTGACATCTAGATCCGCACCCATATCAAACATCTGTGCCCGAGCAACTTAAATGTCAACTTGCTCAGAAAATCCATCTGTTTGGGAAATACAGGCAATATTTCCTTAATGTGTTCTTTTGAATTTTCTTATATAGGATCAAAAAGGAGAGAGTGGAAAGTAACATTTTTCTACGGTACCCTCGTTGCAAATCAAGTATTTTTACATAATAATGTGTCTATAAAATTATTTCTTCCAAAGATTTTTTCTTGGAAAGAGGTAGCTAGTAATTGTACCATTTCCTGCAACAGTATGGAGAAGATTCTTGATCGATATGAAAGATACTCATATGCAGAGAGACGCTTTCTTTCGAGCAATTCTGAATCATCATCAGTATGACTATCAGCTTTTTCTTTCCTTTAATTAATAGGGGTACGTACCTTCAAATACGAGGTTTTCTAGTATCAATATACTAAGTATGAATTATATAAATATTGCAGGAGAATTGGAGCTTGGAATACACAAAACTCAAGGCTAAGATTGAACTTCTGCAAAGGAACCACAAGTAAGAGCATAATTTTTTTTTCAATAATCCGTCTTTAGGTGACGGGGGGTTTGATGAATTTAGCAGTAACATGCAACTAAAATCAAAGAACACGAGGAGAGAATTTTAGAGAGAGAAATTTTAGAGGAAGAAGAAGAACTCTGTTTATTACATCGCAAAGCAAGAAGAAAGGAAGAAGACAACTGTACAATGTATGTAACCACTACTAACTAACTAGTGGGACCCAACTACACAACTAACTACCTAATTAACTTAACTAACTATGGTTAGCTACTATTAACTGTAGTTATATTCCCAACATCCCCGCTCAAGCTAGGACTGGGAAAAATGTTCAGAAGTCCTAGCTTGGATAGAAAATATGTATGTTGTGGTCTGCTCAGTCCTTTGGTAAGGAGATCAGCTGCCTGCTCTTGTGTAGCACAGTAGTGAGTAGTAACGAGGCCTTGTTGAATCTTTTCACGGATAAAGTGACAATCAATGTCAATATGCTTTGTGCGCTCATGGAAAACTGGATTGGCAGCAATTGCAAGAGCTGATTTGCTGCCACAAAAAACTGGTACTGGAGATTTATGCTCAATTCCCAACTCTTTGAACAGGCCTAGAAGCCATACAATCTCAGCAACAGTAGAAGCAATGCTTCGATATTCAGCCTCAGCTGAACTCCTAGATATAGTTGTCTGCTTCTTAGATTTCCAAGAAATGAGAGAATTACCAAGCTTGACAAAATAACCAGTGACTGACTTGTGTGTATTGGGGCATGCAGCCCAATCAACATCACAATATGCTGACAATGATTCAGAACACCTCGCCCCCAGAAACACTCCTAGACCTGGACTTGTTTTGATATATCTCACCACCTTAAGTGCTGCTTCCACGTGTGAAACTTTGGGACTATGCATGAACTGGCTAAGACTTTGGATAGCAAATGAAATGTCAGGCCTCGTGATGGTCAAGTAAAGTAATTTGCCCAACAATCTCTGATAGGGTCCAGGATCAATCAACAATGTATCATCAGATTGTCCTACATAGTTGTCAAATTCAGAAGTGGTAAGCTTTAGATTAGGCTCCATAGGACATCCCATAGGCTTTGTACCTGAGAGTCCTAATTCAGAAATAAGCTCCAATGCATATTTTCGTTGATGCATCAGTATCCCATCACTCTTTCTGGCAAATTCTAGGCCTAGGAAGTATTTGAGTTCTCCTAGGTCCTTGATTTTGAAAGAAGACTGTACTACATCTTTAGTTTGTTGAAGTAATGCAGGATCATCTCCAGTAATAAGTAGGTCATCAACATAGACCAACACAATGACTATGTGAGTTGTTGTCTTCTTGATGAAAAAAGAATAATCCAGATGGCTTTGTTGAAAACCAGCATCCTTTAGAGCTGAAGTCAATTTGATATTCCATTGTCTGGATGCCTATTTGAGTCCATAGAGAGACTTCATTAACCTGCAAACTGTTGATTTGTTGTGTGAACTATGAAAACCTTGAGGAATGGTCATATATACTTCTTCAGTGAGATCACCTTGCAAGAAGGCATTATAAACATCCATTTGATGGATGAACCAATGCCTTGATGCTGCAAGAGCCAGGACACTTCTAACAGTGACCATTTTCACCACAGGTGAAAAGGTCTCTTGATAATCCAATCCTTCTCTCTGATTATACCCTTTGGCTACTAAACGAGCCTTGAATCTTTCTACTTCTCCTATTGCCTTGTATTTGATTTTATAAACCCATCTGCATCCTATATCCTTCTGTCCTTGAGGTAAAGAAACCAATGTCTAAGTCTTGTTGTCTTCCAAGGCTTTAATCTCTGCCTGCATTGCCTCCACCCACCTTTTATCCTTGATACCTTCAGAATATGTGGCAGGTTCCACCGCAACAAAGAAACTAGCCAAATAACTCTGATATTTTGAGGAAATCGTATCATATCCAATGACCTCTGAGATAGGATATTTGCAACAACCAGCAGAACCTGTCTTGTCTTGTCTAACATAATCCTTGAGCCATATAGAAGGTTTGGACACCCTAGTTGACTTTCTTAATCCCACATTAATGGGAGCCTCAGAAGAACCACCTGGAACAGTAGGAGAATTAGGTTGAAGATCATCATAAACAGCTGTAGAAGGTATGTCTTGTTCAGTTGTAGGAACAGAAACTATATCTGAAGGGCTCAGAACAGCAGCTGTGCTATCATCTGTGCCTGAACAGTCCATTATCATTGGCTCTTCATTGAGATCCTCCCTAGGCACTGGACACATGTCTAAGAAAAGTGAGTTGGATGTGTTCTCAGCTCCCTGAAAAGGAAACATGTCTTCATAGAACACCACATTTCTGCTGATGAAAAATACTCTATTTTCTAAGTCCAACAACTTATACCCCTTTTGATGTGCAGCATAACCCAACAGAACTGACCTCACAGCTCTTGGTGCAAATTTATCAGTGCCTACCAAGTTAGTAGCAAAGCATAGACATCCAATAACTCTTAAGTGTATCAGTGAAGGTTGCTTACCAAAAAGTAGCTCATAGGGTGACTTATGTCCCAGTATAGATGAAGGAACCCTGTTGATAATATACACAGCAGAATCAATACAGTGTCCCCAATACCTGACAGGCAAGTGTCCTTGAAATCTGATTGCTCTAGCAGTTTCAAGTATGTGCCCGTGTCTTCTTTCCACAACTCCATTCTGCTGAGGAGTGTATGGGCATGAGCTTTGATGAATAATTCCATGTGACTGGAACAAATCTTTACAATCATGATTGAAAAATTCACTACCATTGTCTGATCTGAAGACCTTCACCTATTTGCCAAACTGAGTTCTAATCATAGCAATGAAATTCTTGAGCAAGAAAACAACATCAGATTTAAGTCTCATGAGAAATACCCAAGTCCACCTAGTATAATCATCAACTAGTGTAAGAAAGTATTTCATTCCATTATGAGTAGCAACTTTATAAGGTCCCCATACATCCATATGGATCAAATCAAAACTGCACTTGCTTCTGTTAGTACTAGGTTGAAATGGTACTCTAGTCTGCCTAGCCAGTGGACAGATTTCACACTTAGACAATGTACTACTGTTGCTACTATATTCTTGTAAACTAGAAATTCTTCTAAGAACTTGAACTGGTACATGTCCTGTTCTTTTGTGCCATATATCCATGCTTCCCTTATTGGTCACTGCAAAAGCTTTATTCACTTTCTTTCCTAGTGCAGCTGATAGAATGTATAGATCTTCCTCTCTTTTACCAATCTCCTTCACCCTCCCAGACAAGAGGTCCTGAAATACACAACATTGAGGAAAAAAAGTGACACTGCACTTAAGATCTTCTGTCACTTTTGATACTGACATAAGATTGAACTTGAAAGATGGCACACATAACACATCCTTTAATACATCACCTCCTGTAAGCTGACACTCTCCCATATGAGAAATGGTGGCTGAATCTCCTGTAGGTAGTTGAACTTGCCCTGAGTTCCCTACTGAAGTTTCATTTTTTTTAGCAAGTTTTTATCACCAGTCATGTGATTGGTAGCACCAGTATCAACTATCCATTTACATAACTCTAAGTTTTCACAAAGTGCTATATTGCCAAAGAAACATTTACCTGCCATGTTGACACTTGCTTCTCCAACAAAGTTCTTGTTCAACAGTTGCAACAATTGATTGTATTGCTCTTTGGTGAAAGATTGTCCTGCCTCAACACTGTTTCCTGTATGATAAGCAGACTGTGAGCCTCGTATGTCCTGCTGTCCAGTTGACTCAACCATCACTGCATTGGCTTTCTTTTTCTGGTTGAAGTCATTTGGATACCCAAAAATTTTGTAACAATTCTCCTTGCGATGTCCTGTTTTACCACAAAATTCACACTTCATTAGCTTATAGCAATCAAGCTTAGTATGACCTTTCAAATGACAGAATTCACATTCTAAGTTGAAACTTCTTCTTGGTCGAGCAGTAAAAAAAGCTGTAGGAGTAGTGTGTCCTGCTTGCCCATATGCATTTCCAGTAATCATCTTCCTACTCTCCTCTTGCACTACCATAGCATAAGCTTTGTCTATAGATGGCAGTGTTGGCATTAATAAGATTTGACTCCTTTCTTGTTCAAAACCATCATTTAGTCCCATTAGAAATTGCAATAAACGCTGATATTCCAGCTGCTCAATGTATTCAGAAGCAGACGAAGGAGGTGGTAATATTGAATCATATTCTGCCCAAAGGTCCTTCAATCTAGTGAAATATGTCGAAACAGACGAGACTCCCTATGTCAAGGTGAAAATCTCCTTGTGCAAGTAGTATAATCTCGATCCGTTCACTTTGTCAAACCTCCCCTTGAAGGCTGCCCATATCTTTTGAGCATTAGAAGAAAACAGTACTCCTGTAACTAATTCTCTACTCACATTGCTCATAAGCCATGAAGTGACAATAGCATTACATCGATCCCATTGACTTCCTAATTCTGCACCAAAGTCCTCCTTCGATGTCGATCCGTCAACTAGGCACAGTTTGTTCTTTCCTAGCAATGCAACCTTCATCGCACGACTCCATAAGGAATAATTTTCCATTCCTGTCAGAATCAATCCCACCGACATAGATCCAGGACCGTCCGAAGGATGGAGATAAAGCGGGTGATTATGATCCGTAATAGTTGTACTTCCAATTACTCCAACTCCAGATCGAGCTCCAGTATTCGCATTCACAGTCGAATCGTCTGTAACCGCCATTGAAAAAAAATAGAAATTAGGGTTTAAGCTTTGAAACTGAGTAAATTCTCTCGAATTTTTTCTTCAATTGCTCGAAAAGTTCCCTAGAATCACTCGTCAATCCCGCTCTGATACCATGATGAATTTAGCAGTAACATGCAACTAAAATCAAAGAACACGAGGAGAGAATTTTAGAGAGAGAAATTTTAGAGGAAGAAGAAGAACTCTGTTTATTACATCGCAGAGCAAGAAGAAAGGAAGAAGACAACTGTAGAGTGTATTTAACCACTACTAACTAACTAGTGGGACCCAACTACACAACTAACTACCTAATTAACTTAACTAACTATGGTTAGCTACTATTAACTGTAGTTATATTCCCTACAGGGTTTGGCATGGACCCCTACCTTGTATAAAGTTTCTTTAAGAGCATAATTGCTTCCATGAAATCTTTTGGGAGATCGAGTTTAACTTATATACACCAAGTGACGGATAATGTAAAGAAACTTTATACTATTAATGTATTTTACATGTTTTATAAGGTCATTTCCCTTGCTTTCGTGGTTTCTCATCATGTTTAATTACTACTATAAAAGTTAGAACATGACTTTGAAATGATTTGGTAACAATGGAGGAACTAAAAATTTATAAAGAATTCAAAAAAATACTAGAATATAACAATCGGAATTCGAACTTGTGACTTAAAGCAACTTTTGAATCACCTTTACTGATACATTAGAATTTTTTTCTCATGTCAAGGGGATTTCATACCTTATATATAACAAAAAAAATGTTTGTTTTTACCCAATGTGTACGGTATAAGTTTTTGATGAACCGCCTTCCTTCCACTTAGTTCCGCCATTGTTCGATAATATAAAAATTATTTATACTATCAGTATTTTGTTTTTAAAACCTAGCCTAGACTGATTCAATTTTAATTTCATTTTTCCTTATACTTTTCCAGGCATTATTTGGGAGAAGATCTGGAGTCGTTGAGCTTGAAGGACCTCCAGAACTTGGAGCAACAGCTTGACAGCGCTCTTAAAGCTATTCGATCCAGAAAGGTACAGTGTCTTTTTTCTCCATTCAAATTTTGGGCTTTCTTTTTTTTCTTTTTTTCTTTTCGGTTTTATATCCGGTGTCCAATACCGGCTTTATGATCCCGATTAGTCCTGATTCGCGCCGTATAAAATTCATTAAAGGGAGAAACACTCCCTACTAGAATGTTCACTAATATGCAACTTTTGACTGCTGTTCTCTTGCAGAATCAACTCATGCATGAATCTATCTCTCAGCTGCAGAAGAAGGTTTGTTTCCTTGTGGAAATTTTGCATTTGATGTACTAGCATTTGTTATCGGAAAATGTTAGCTAGAACGAAAATTATTTTTCAGGAAAATATTTGTTATGAGAGAATTATTTTTTCGTGTTTGGTTACAAAAATTTACAGGGAAAATAACTTTCCTCACTTATATGCATAAATCATTTTACTTACAACTATTAATTTCATATTACTTGATCCAACTAAAATTTAGACGTTATAATTAATCTTTAATTTAGTATTATAGATTTCATCAAAACACTTCCGATTTGACGATTATATTACTTATTAATCCTTAATACATTATGTATTTTCTTCGAAAATTATTTGGACTCACTCACCCATAAAATATTATGACGTTTACCATGCCAATCATAATGTTAATTGAAAAATGGCTCATCATTTTACAGGAAAAGGCATTACGGGAGGAAAATAACACGCTAACGAAGGTGAAACTACTACTGTTATTTGCCGTAAAATTTTCATGAAGTCGCAACTCTTGATGAACATATTACCATTTCTCGATTTGTGCATGCTAATCTTCGCTGTATTGTTCCAATTTATCAGATGTCCCCGAAAGGGACTCTTTCCACTTCGTTATCTCAAGTTATTAAGTAGGCTCATTTTATTTGCATTGTTTGTTCCACTATTTGTTGAACAGATCAGAGATAAGGAGAAGAGAATAGGACAGCAGGCTGAATGGGAAGAGCAAAATCATGTCACTACTTCAACGTCTTTTCTCTTCCCACAAACAATTCCATGCCTAAACGTCAGGTAATTGTTACTTATCTGCCAAAATAAATGAATGAATGAATGAATAAATAAAATTATCAGCTAGCGTTTTATTCTTGGAAAGTGGTACGTCTTGTAATCATGTCAAACTTCTGATTTCAATTTGAATGGTATAGCAACACCTAATGGTGTGGTCTATTGGTCAATGAAGTTGGGATTGGTCGTGGGAGATTAATGTTCAAAAATCCCAGCAAAGATAGAAAAGTTAGGTGATTTGTTCTTATTTATCAAAGTTTTAGTAAGTCTTGGTAGATTTTTTTTTTAAAATATAATTTTACGCCGTTAGGTAGCATTGGCCTATTATTTCAATCAAAAAGGTGGTACAAACAGAGGGCTATATCAAACAAAACCTCTGTCCAAAAAGAACTGATTACATCATAACTGTAATTCAGAAAATAGGTACAAAAGAGCACAACAGTTCATACAAAATCATTTACCCTATGTTTATGCCTTATGCCTATGGATGCCATGTAAACTTTGTCCAATATATAAGGTCCTGCTGCATCTCCAGGAAGATCCTTTGGATTATTAAAAGTTGATTTATAACAATGTGAAATTCTTCAGTTAGTCCCTGCCAAAAGTTTTTTAATCTCCAGAATAGTACTCTCTCTGTCAGTTTATGTGAATCTATTTTCTTTTTAGTCCGTTCCAAAAAGAATGACCCTTTTCTAAATTTGGAAACAATTTAGATTAACGTCCAACTCTACCCTTAATGAGAAACATTTATAACCACACAAATACTCTGGACTTCTTTTTGACTTGTTTAGGACCACAAATTCTAAAAGTCTATATTTTTTCATAAACTCCATGCTCAATCATATAGGTTTACATAAATTGTAGCGGAGGGAGTATCATGTACGCTCCAAGCCACTCTTGTATTCCCTTTTATCATATTGACAATAACCTCAGAATGACATTCTAAAGCAATATCTCGATAGCCAAATGAAATACACCATTTCACCCAAGTGTGTGCAGGTTTAGCTTATGGTAGATATAGCTTCTGGTAAGTCTTGGCAGATAGAGTTACACGGAACCTATGCTTGAAAATAGGAGTGTTCACGAAAAAAATGAAAAATCGAACCAAACAGAAAATTGAATCAAATCAACAACAAAAACAAATAATTTTTTATTTGTTTGGTTTTGATTTTAAATTTTAAAACCAATCAATTTTGGTTTGAATTTGGTTTTAAGCATAAAATAACCAAAACAACAAAAACAAATAATTTTATGGTACATATCAATCATTTACATTCTTGGTTTGTGGTCTAGTTCTTTGAATTTGTAGTAATCTAGTTCTTTACCTTTATACTTTAGTTTGATTGATAGCATTACTTTTCCAAGTCTAAGAATCTTTTTCACAATAAAAAAATTTGTCTAAGTTCTTAAGTTATTCATCACTATTTAATTCAATTATCATAAGATTGATATTTTTTTTTTCAAAGAGTATTTACTTTGATTGTGTTAAGTTAGACAAAGAGGGTTGATTGAGTGCTATTTGAGAATCTTGATTAAATTTGGCGTGGGCTAATTATGAATGCAGAGGCAATTATCAAGGGGGAGAAGTAGAGGCAAGGAGGAATGAGCTTGACCTAAATCTTGATTCTTTATATGCACACCTTTGATTGCGAATTAACGTGCTGCCTATCACACGTGATTGTAATCAGAGTGAATTCTTCACTAATTCAATAATTTTATCTAATTTACTGGTATTACACTTGGCAATTGTCAGCATTCAAGTGAGAATTTCTCTTTGTTCTTAATTTTGGTTGTGTAAGTCTGCTATGAAGGTAGGCAATAAGTTTGTCCTTGGATTATGACGTTTAAGGTGTCATTCCTACAGTTTCTCGAAAATATTTTTCCTGAAAACTTCATTAAATTTGCGCAGAATATTATGTGTTGTATCAATACTTAACATGTTTCCTTTTTCGGAATTTTTCTTTACGACCTAAAAGAGCAGTACAAAAAAAAGTTTATTCTAAAATGTCCACCAGATCTAGTAACATGCAGTCTCAATTTCCGTCTAACAACAAATCCAAAAGTGGGGAAATATGCCATGGTCATAATACCCACACTTCATCAGACTACTCAGTCAATGAGTCTGGAGCAGACAACACCTCTTGTCACTCCGATGACTCCAATTTCACTAGAGCAGATCAACAATACTAATTCTTATATGAATTTCTTAGTCTGGATATGACGGGGATCACATAATCCTGAGTTTAGGCATCACTTTAGGTCCTTATTGGATAATCATAGACCAGTGTTAGCCATTCTGCTTGAAACACACATGCATGATCATACAAGACTACGTGATGACTTCAACTTTACCAACATGTCACAAGTATCTGCTAATGGTCTAATAGGCGGTTTAGTTGTGTTGTGGAATGAGGAGGGTATGAAGGTGAGAAAGATAAGAATATCTGATCAAGAAATACATTGCATGGTCCAGGTATGTCCCACTACACCACCTTGGATTTTATCTGCCATTTATGCTAGCAATCACTGTAATTTACGTAATATACTTTGGGAAAATTTAATTACTTTGCATAATATTGTAGTATTCCTTGGTTAATAGGAGGAGATTTTAATGAAGTGTTAGAGTCAGAGGAAAAATTTGGTGGCCTCCCTATTAGTAACAATAGGGCGGACAAGTTTGCTAGCTGTATAAATTATTACAAATTAATAGACTTAGGATTTCATGGTAGTCGTTTCACATGGACTAACAAACGTAGACATGGTAATACAATTTTAGAAAGGCTTGATCGTTTTTTAGCAAATTATGACTGGATAAATTTATACCCAGAGGCTGTAGTGAAGCATTTACCACGTACTTATTCGGATCGTTATCCACTCTTATTCACCTTAGAACCCACTCCTAGGATGCAACAAAAAAATATTTCGTTTTGAAACTATGTAGGCATCACAGCCTCAATTCCGAGAAATAGTTTGTAGAGTTTGGTCTGGTGACCGATCTTTGCTTCAAACGACAAGACATTTTCAAGCAGTAGCTACTCCATGGAATAAACAACATTTTGGGAATATCTTCCAACAGAAAAGGAAAATATTAGCTAGGTTGGCAGGAATTCAAGCTTCTATACACTACCCTACAAGTATATTCCTACAGAATTTAGAAACAAAATTAACTATGAATTATAGTAACATATTACATTTAGAAGAAGACTTTTGGAAATTGAAATCTCGCATCAATTGGTTAAATGAGGGTGACGCAAACACAAAATTCTTCCATATGTCTACCATTCATAGACGCAGAAGAAATAGAATACATGTTTTGCGAGATTTGGTTGGTAATTGGAATTTCGGTCAAAATGAATTAAAAGAACATATTCTAACTTTTTATCAAACTCTATTTACAACTTCTACTAGAATTTATAATGAATTGAATATTCATCAAATATCTGTATGTGAAAATCAAAAAATGGAGAAGCCTCTTAGGCAAGAGGAGATTAAATGTGCCCTATATAGCTTTAAACCCTATAAAGCTCCAGGTCCAAGTTGCAAAAATTTCTCTCTCTAGAATGAAAATTTCCTCTTAGTGAAAACTGACCATGGGAAGGAAATCGAAAGCTGGAGGAGGAGAAAAACAATGGCAGAGCAACATCCAAATGGAGAGAAGCAGAATGTACCGCAATCTACAGATGCAAAGAAAACAAAAAGTATAAATGTGCTCCAAGGAATTGTACCGTTGGATCTAGCAAAAGGAACAATGGATCAAACGCCAAACCAGTGCAAATTGGCAAATAGAAGTGGAAACAGTAACATGCAGAGCAGTGGGAAAAGCTCATGGGCTAATATGGTAGAAGAAGAAGCAATGGCGGAAACAGAGGCAGGGAAAGTGCAAAAAACTGCTAATTCATGGAGCAATGTAGTGGGACCAATACCTCAAAATAATGGATTCGAACTGAGTAGTGGGGAATTGACACATCAAAATGTGAAAATCACAATTGAGGATATCCAGGAGGAGGTTGAATACTGGAAAACAGCAGTGATCTGCTATGTGCTGGGATCTAATCCCCCACTAGCAGTCATGGAAGGATATTACAAAAGAATTTGGGGAAACAGAGGTATCGATAAAGTTGCAGTAGTGAATAAAGGAGTTTTCCTTGTGAGATTTCAATCGGAAGAAGCCAAAAATAGAACAGTTGAGGAAGGAGTCCAAATGTTTGATAAAAAGCCAATAGTAAATAAGCCTTGGAAGCAGGATATTGACATGAAAAAAGAGACTATTGACAGGATTCCTATATGTATCAGACTCATTGGATTGGACATCAAATACTGGGGGAAGAGTGCACTAACAAAAATTGCAGGAATGGTAGGGAAACCATTGAAGGCAGACAGTGCTACATCACAGAAGGAAAGACTCACATTTGCTAGGATACTTGTTGAGGTATCAATTAACCAGCAGTATCCCTCAATGATCATGTTTGAAAATGAATATGGGAAAATTATAGAGCAACAAGTAATGTATGAATGGAAGCCAGTGCATTGTCCTACTTGCAATAATTTTGGGCATGAACAAGAAGACTGCAGGAGGAATATGAAGAAGGAGGAAGTAAAGGAACAACAAAACCAAAAGTAAAATGATCAGCAAACTGATGACAAAGGGGAGCAAACTAAGGAGAGCACAGATAAAGCAGGAAATGAAAAGAGTAAAGAAAAGGAGATAGAGGTGATGGTGCAGAAAAAGAAGAAAGGGAAAAGCAATACATTAACAAGGGCAAAAGAGCTGACTCTGTCACTTGGGAACTCTTATGCAGTACTAGCAAAGAACACTGATGATAATACAAGAGAAAATGGAAGTATAGCAAGCTCATCTAACCCTGGAGATAAGCAAGCTAGTTTGGGCCATGACACTGGAAAGGGTGGGGGCAACCCCCTACCCAATGGATAATATTGGATGCTGGAATGTAAGGGGTCTAAATAGGACANACTATTTGGCTCCTGGAGACAAAGATTAAGAGAACAAAGGCTCAACAAGCCTCTCTTAATCTTTGTAATGGGTGGTCATTCAGTACAAATCTGCATAAACATCCTAGGGGTAGGATTTGGTTGCTATGGAAACCTCAAATCTATGAGGTTGACATAGTAACAGTAACAGCACAAATAATTCACTGTCAGGTCAAACATAGAGGAAGGAATGAGAAGATGCACATAACTGTGGTGTATGGATTTAATGATCAGGCACTTAGAAGAGAACTATGGGAGGAGATAAGGAAAATCTGTAGCCAAGTTCAAGGGCCATGGAGTGTAATGGGGTATTTCAACTGTGTTCTACATAAAGAGGAAAGGTTTGGGAGTCCTGTCACTATGGCTGAAATAAGAGACTTTAAGAATTGTGTAGAGAATTGTGACTTACATGATCTAAAATCCATTGGGGCATATTTCACCTGGAATAACAAGCAAGAAGGGGATGACAAGGTAATGACAATATAGATAGAGTACTAGTTAATAGTGACTGGTTAGCAACTCTCCCTGCTTCCACAGTTCATTATATGGAAGAAGGGTTGTATGACCATTGTCCTACTATTATCAGCTGGGAAAAAGGAGGGAACATGAAGGAGAAGCGATTTAAGTACTTTAACATGTAGAGTATGGCACCAGATTTCTCAGAAAAAGGTAAGAGGAAAAGCTGGCGACGTAGGGGAGTATTAGGGCTGCAAAGCAAATATTAACTAGTGGGGGAAAGCGTTAAACAGACTTAA